GCTTTGATTTGTGATGCCGATGCTGGTTGCTAGTGCTAACAGCAAAAGCAAATAAAATACCGGCATCGAGAATAAAAAAAAAAGAGCAACAATTTCTTGGTGTGACATTGGACCGCTGTATTTGTTGGGTTTACTTTGCCACTATCGTGTTTTACCTTACCCATTTCTTTCGTAATTCTATTGACCTTATTCGCAGGTGTCTGTCCATAAGTTTACAGCTTGACTCTGGGAATCCACATTTCTTTCTGCCCAAATGCAGCTCTCGGGTTGAAGGGTTTTCCCAGTGCAGTCTGTGGCTTTCACTTCACTTCACTTTACAGTTCTCAGCTGCGGATTTTGAATGCACTGTATCTTATTTGTATTTTCCTTAATGGTGCTTTGCTCTGGTTTTCATACCCTTGAACTTTAAAAAACAGATATTTTCCATATCAGGAAAATAGTTTTAAAATTTTAAAGTTGGTTTAATTTTTAAATATATGTGTTATTTAAATATAAAGTATATAGAATGAATGTTTTAAAATAAAATTTCAAGTTGAATTTCTTTTTAAAACCACCATAGTTAAAATTTCTTCGTTCTTGTCTATCAAAAGTTTATGAAAATATAAAGAAAGTGCCGTTATCAAAATCTTCCAATGAAGCCGTCTAAGGAAGTATTAATAACCACATTTTTGTGCTCATTTTAAAATATTTAATGTACTTTTCTCTGCATTGCTAATTGTAAATACAGATAAATAAACTTTAACATTTTTTTAAAGTTTAATTCAAACAGTTTTATATTTATTTATCCAACTTTATTTGCTTTGTAAAATATTTGCAATAGAAATAGTTATTTGGCTCAATTATTTCTTTACATTTTTGCCAAACTGGCAAAGCCAGCAAAGGGGTTTTAATGCCCTGAAAGGTCTGTGTTGTTATATATTTTTGTTGTTGTGCTGTTGTTACCACACATCTCTTCGGCTCGGATGCGTGTGAAATATTTCGATAAATGTTTGTGGATTTGTGCGAGTGTGTCAGCGAACTGAGAGTTTTTCGCTATTTGGGTGTGGGCTTATGTCTGTGTGCTGGTCCACTGACCGATGTAGCCCTCCTTTTTATAGTTCTGTTTTTGTTGCACTTCCCCATTCCCCAGCCAGTTTCCCACAACGTCTCTTGGCGTTAACTTTTCCACGCACTGATGACGAATGGCCATGGAAAATGATGAATGTTTAATGGGGCAGTGCGACAGCAAAAACATTTTGAGGTAACATATTGATGATGGGAGGACGGCGGGAGATGCACTGAATTCGGTTCGGTCGAGTTGATCGGGGGAGGTGGACTGGTGGATGGTGGGTGGGGGATGGGTGGCTTGGTGGTTGGTCATGCATCAGGGAGCGGTTCGCTGCCAAAAACTTTCAAATTCTCACATGTTCCAATGTCAACAAAGTTGCCCCGAAATATTTTTACAAATTCAAGGGAAATGCATTTTTAACTTTGTCTTGGAATACGTGATGGAAAATGTTGAATAATATTATATAACTTTTTATAGAACTTATTATAATGGAATTTAAAATTTATTTAGTATCTTTAATAAACGGATTATTAGTGTAAAAATATCTACAATAATGATCCCACTCTAAAAGAAGTACTCATCTCAAGTGTTCAAGTCTTCCAAGACATAAAACATTTAAGTTATCAACTGAAGATATATAATGAACTTAACTGAACATGAGATAGATCCCAAGTCAAGTGATCTCTTTAATTCTACTCCCTTGCCCCTTTGGCCTCTCTTTCAATCCACTTTTGAATATTTCCCCTTGGATTTTCCTTTGAATTTATCTGAAAGTATCTGGCTTGCCTTCAGTGTCATTTTGTTGCTGTTGTTTTTGTTTTTGTTTGCGCTACATTCCCGGTGGAATTTATGTAGATATGTGGGTTTGTGTTATAAAAATTGCTCCACTTGCGATATACAATCCCCTTTCCCCACACACTTTTCCTCCTTTTAGCTGGTCGTTTATCACATTTTTTGCTTGGCTTAAGCAAGTCTATCAAAAATATGTATTCGTAATTGCAGCAACGTACACACAGAAAAGCTGTAGGGTAAAATGCGAGGATGGGAAGAGGTGTATGGGTTACCAGATATAAGCCAGCGAAAAAGAAGCACAAGCAGCCGCCGAGGTTGAGGAAAAGCGACAATGTCGCTGTAATCGTTGAATGATGTCATGCTGACACACTCCTTACTCACCATCTTTCTTCGACACCTAAAGCTTTTCAGCAAAATAAAAAAAAGAAAAGAAAAAATTAAATAGAAACTTGAGAACTTAAAGTAAACATGGTTGTCATGTGAGCTTGTTTTTAGTTTATTTATTTGGATAAGAAAAATGTAATAATAAATATTAAAAGTTGTTGCAAAAAATCAGTAAAAATACAGGGATATTTGCTTTAATTTCTTGTTAATTTTAGCTGCTTTTTCAATAGATACCTGGATAAACTAGCTGGCAAACTCCCCTTAATATCTATGAGAACATATTACATGTTTTTCTATACAGTTAATTAATATCAAATCGATCATCATTAAGGTCTTTTTTTTGGTATCTGCGTGGTATCTGTTTTTTTATTCTAATGCCTTAACGATTTGGCCAGAATCCAAACACGAAACCAACTAAAACTGAAACCCAGCCCCGGGCACCCTTTGGCAAATCAGTTACCAAGGCGCTGATGCTGCAATAAAAGGTGCGATTTATCATAATGGCTGACGCATGTAACACACACACACACCCACACACCCATTCACGTTGAAATCACAAGATGGTATCTGCCACCCTCTTTCCCTTTCTCAGCCTCCAAGGTACACTTATATTTTGCAATATAACGCAATGGTTCCTGCTGTGGATTGTGGATCCATCGATTTCATTTCTTGCCATTTTCCGCATTTTTCACAAATCTGTTTTTCGCACACACACACACACATACACTCCGTTTATGGCCTGCTGGAGCTGTTAGTCTCTGTGTGTGTGTGTGGAGTTATCTGAGGCAGCCGCCAGACGCCAGTTCATATTGATTACAACAAATTTGCCGTCGCCATTCGTTTGGAGTTGTCGCCGGCTTTGAGGAAAGAGCAAAAAAAAAAAAAAAACGTGATTATATAACTGATATATAGATGTGACTGTGCCAGTAAGCGCACTTTCCTGCGTATGTCGGCTTTTATTAATTTTGCTTTTGTGGAAAATGCTTCCACGTTCCATCAAAGATCCATTAGGGATATTGAAATATGATTTGGTATAGTAATTGAAGATTTAGATAAAGACCTCGCAAACATTTAATAAACTCTTATTTATTGAGGGGTATATCTCTGGATTTGGGATTCTTCATCAACAGGGCGCGGTTTATTTTCTTCGTCGCTGTTTATTCCATCCTCCTTGCTAATCGCTGTTACAGTTCTTTATTATGGTTCTTCTTTTCTAAGCCAACTTGATGAGCTCTCTTTAGTTGTGTTTTTTTGCACCATTGCATTTTCACACTGTGCGAAAAACGAACATACTTAGTATATATTTTCTCTTTTAATTAACCCACTGCTAGTTTTCTCTATTTGTTTTTGTTATTCTTCTTGAACTCTAAATGCCAACAAAAATTGTGAAAATTGCCAGTAAAAAAATATAATAAAAATAAAAAAAATAAAACGAAGTTTCTACTACCAAAGAGTTATTTATATATAAATACATAGGTTTTTATAGAGCGTGAGTTTTAATTAAAACATCAATATTAATAAAGGTTTTATTTTGATTTTTATTTAAACATTTTTTAAGCATTAATAAATCAAAAATAGAAGATATATTTGGCTTCCTTAAATGTTCAAATTATATTTATTATATATACGTATATAAAAGGTTGCACTCTGTATATTAGATCATACATTTTTTTCCTGTATCATTGCTTCTTTTCCAACGCAACCCCACTATCTGAAAACCGTTCACTCGCTTGACATTTAGTGCCGGCTGCCGCTGCTCATGTCTTGGGGTCTTCGATAGACCAAAGTCAGGGTCCAAACGGGGAGACGGAGACTGCGAGTTGAAGCTGTAGCTGAAGCTGCTCTTTTGGCGACGACGGCGACTGTCTGGAATTTCGTTGGACCGGTTTATGTGTGTGGTTTGCCACTGGCTGTTAGTGCCTTTTGTTGTTGCTGCTGCCGTGGTAGTCGGTGGCTAGTGGTGGTGGTGGTGGTGCCTGTTGTTGGCTGTGATGTTGGCGTCTGGGTAACTGGCTCCAAAAATACAAAATACTTGCACAGCACACGGCTTTGTGCGATACTTGGCTAACCAACTGGCCAACACACACACACACATGTGAATGAACATGGCCAATACACACACGGACACTCGTACATACATAAAACAGCGCGCATATTTGTCGTTGCGGATTATTTCATAGCACAATTCTCCAACGAAAGCTCTATGGGGGGTGTGGGCCGTTATCAAATGACTGTGGTCTTCCCATTCTCGTTGTTCTTACACTCCTCCTCCTCCAATTTTGTGCTCTCTTTTTCCCGATTTCTGATTTCTGACTCCTCCTGCTCTTCGTTGGCTGTTAATTTACATTGCAAAAATTTTCTTTTGACTTTATACGCAATTTGCAATTCAATAGTTTATAGATTTTGCCCATTGTGGGTGTGTATAGTATACTTAGTATACTCAGATTTGAGTGTGTATGGTATTTGGGGTGGTGTTGAGTGTCGCACATGTGGGTAGGATGGACATAAGTAGGTAACTGAGGCAGGGGCAGGAGGCATTTTCAGGCGGGCTTTTCGATTAGGTCATTTAATCTTAAGAGCTTGGCTGGAATCGAATGAGTTGGTTCCATTACCGCAAGATGAATAATTTATTTTGGTTTAAATCTGCACATAAAGGTAAATTTGTTAAACTATTTAAGATGTTCTTATTTTTTTATATTGAATATTATACATAAATATAAACCTTATTTACATATATGCAAATGTCCTAATTATAAACTCTTATCTTCTATTGCAGATCCTCATTATATCCAACTGTAAGTCAGAATTATTTAAATCAAATAAATATATTTTACTGTTAATACAATTCGATACCAAAATAGTTTATCTAATGGTATTTAGCATATTCAACTCTGCATATCACAAATTAATCCCCCTTTCCCGCTTCCAATCACTCAGTGCCAGATAGTTTTCCATTCAAAATACGAAACTGGTCTGTGGCCGAGCCCAGTTTTGCAGTCACCACCGTGCTCAGATTGACCTCGCTCCCCTCGCAGTGGCCAACATTTGATCAATCTAATCAGTTAAAATGCATCCGAAGTTCAGGCAGGCCAATGTAGAGGCCAAACATTGTTTCGATATGTTTAGTTTGGGTCGAATGATGCCCACACACTATGCAAACCGTCTAAATGCGATTGGTTCTCGGCTATTGGCCAAATTGCTCTCATCGCTCACCGCGTATAATTTGAATGCGCCCCAAAATTGATTTCAATGCAAATTGATAATGAAATATGCGATGGAAAATGCATTAGAACAGAGCCCGACCCTGCGGCAGCTGCATTCTTAGCGCTCTGACATACCAACACCCGGCATTCGGGCCCGTTTACCACCCGCTGTTTTTGGCCATTTAATGCAATGCGGCAAATAAACGAAATGTGGTCAACGCAATGACAGTGCGATTAGCCAAAACCATTGTGGCTGAATCTGTTGGAGATGTGAGCAGAGCGTCCTTTTCGTGGCTTCCACTGGGGTAGTAGTAGCTAGTAGCTACAGCTGCTGCGGTTGCCTTAATCATAATCCCCGTGTGTGTGTGAGTGGGAGTGTGTGTGTTTCTCAGCTGAGAAGTCAAGTGTGCCTGTGTTGACCACAATTGGTCAACATACAGTCCACTGAAGGCAGCCATCGTGGCGTCCAGAATTGCATTTAAAATTTACTGGTGAAAACATAATTGAATAAAATATTTACATATAATCAGTAAGACTTATTGCTGAATATAAAATACGAGAGAGAGAGAGCTAAAGATTTGTGAAGCGTAAAGCAAATACCAGTTTACATCTCATTTAAAAATGAAATATACAAATTTGCACATCACATTTAAAATTCCATCATATCAAATCAGGCAAATCAAACACATGTACTTATCAAAAGGAGAACTTTTCATCAATCTAATCAATATTCAGCCTCTCAAAATTACTCGAATGAATTGACAACCTTATGATTTATTCAATTTTGTTCAAAAGGAAGAGGATGACAAAACATCTTTTGCCGTAATAAATCTCAATTGGGAAGTAAGTAAGAAATACTTGAACAATAAATAACAATAATTATGCAGGAAAATGCTCAAATAAGTACGACATTTGTCTCCGACCTTCCTTCCCGTCTTCTTTTCCCAGTCTATCTCTCCCACCTCCCACTTTCAATGATCCATAATTGCTATTAATTGTGCTTTAGATTTGCATAGCAAATAAATCTAAGAGGGGGTAGGAAAATGCAAAGCATAAATTCAACAATTGCTTGACACTTGAGCAGAGTTTGAAAGTTTTTGTTGTCTAATTTATTTAGCATTGTGTAAACTTGTTCAAGGTTGAATAGGCTTTTAGACCAAATGGAAATTAAATGGCAACAACAGCACCACCATTACCAGCAGCAGCAAAAGCCTCAAAGAAAAACATTTGAATTACGTCGAAGACAATTCGAAATGCCAAAAGGCAGCCGAAGTTTGGCTCCATTGTTTTGGGCCAAACTCGAAATCAAATTGTGCCAAATTACTTGGCCAGCAAAATGGTTGGGGCTAACCAATATTGCTTCTATGGTTCTCTCTCGCTCTATCCCTCTCTCTCTGTCACTATATATATATCTCGATTTCTGTGTCTGCTGTGGGTCCAAATGAATAATTTGGCATCGCAGATAAACGAAATCAATGTCCACGGCCCGGGCCCGAAACCAAATGGCAACATCTGCACATTGCTCCAAACTCAACGGGGGAAATGTCGGGAGCGGGTGGTTTTTGGGGTGGTTTAGTGGAACCTATGGGCCACTCTGGGGAACTTGTTATTGAATTAAAGTGACTTGATTTACGGCGCGTTCTGGTCAAAAGCTCTTAATGGCATTTGCCACGGCTCCCAGCTTCCCTCGAACTCGCTAACCCGCTCTGTTTTGGGTCCTTTTCACATCCCTGCCACTTCATGGCATGGCACCAGGGTCATCTGTTCTCCAAAATGAAGTTTGTGCTTAGTGATGTAACAAGCGTCAACGGGTCGTATGCGTGATATTAAGTATGCGACATGTTGCACTATAAAGCGGAGATGAATGGAAGAGTTGAAAGTGTGGCAATTTATAAGACAACTTGACTGTGACATTCAACTATATTTATACCCTTGCAGGGTATTATAATTTCAGTCAGAAGTTTGCAACGCAGTGAAGGAGACGTTTCCGACCCTATAAAGTATATATATTCTTGATCAGCATCAACAGCCGAGTCGATCTAGCCATGTCCGTCTGTCCGTCTGTCCGTCTGTCCGTCTGTCCGTTTCTACGCAAACTAGTCCCTCAGTTTTAAAGCTATCTGAATGAAACTTTGCATATAGTCTTCTATATACTCTCACTGCTATATATGTCGGAACGGGCCGGATCGGACGACTATATCATATAGCTGCCATACAAATGTTCGATATATTTGTAGAAAAAAAATTATAACTTTTCTGTTTTTCAACATTTTTGCACAATTTTTTAGATATGGCCATTCTATATTATTATAGAATTTTGGTAAAAATTTTATGAAAATCGGACGACTATATGATATAGCTGCCATAGGAACGATCGAGAAATAAATAGGAAAAAAATTATAGCTTCGTTGTTTTCCAACGTATGTTTATCTACTCTGAGATATAAGCTTTTTTTATTATTCTAGAATTATGGTATAAATTTCATAAAAATCGGACAACTATATCATATAGCTGCCATAGAAGCGATCGGTAGATGTAGAGAAAATGTAAAGCTGGGAATGTAAAACTGTAACCGTCAAACTGTAAACATAATAAGTCTAGGTAAAATGTAATGAAACTCTGTTTTGTGTGTGTTTTAAGCATTTAAATTTATAATATAAATATCAAAACCAATCTGCAAGGGTATACAAACTTCGGTGTGCCGAAGTTAGCTTCCTTTCTTGTTAATATATTAACTTGATCAAATTCAAACTTGATTTCAATTCAAGGAAATTATGTTTTATTAAGCGTGCACAATTTTAAATGTTATTAAAAGTTTGTTAGTGGCATAATGTATAAATAAAGGCTTAAAAGCTTAACGAACAACTTTGGCTTAAATATATAATAGAAAAGATACATATTATGCCGTCACTCATGCAGGTTGCTATGCACTTACTTTTGCCACCACTTGACTGCTAGGTATGGCAACAGCTGATAATATTGCTATTGTTGTTGGCTACGGTATTATTGCCATTATTGTGTGCTGCAGGAGGCACACACACACACACATAGTTGTATTTAACTAAACTAAGGCGAACCCTTAAATGACAGCAGATAGCGGTAATAATTTATGCATGCTGCATGTTGCCAGTAAGGGCCATCCGCCCACCGCCCCTTACTGTCAGGCTTTATCTTGTAGTTGGCATTATTCGCCACGCCTCCTTAACCGCCGAGTAGACACCGCATGCACACACAAACAGACGCCTGGACACCCGCGCCTCCGCCCCGACAAGGCTGCACATAATTTAATTAAAATGAAATCTCGCACGGGGCGCTGAACTGCAAACTGTGAATGCAAATTATTATTAATTACAGCACAGCGACGACAAATGTTTATGCCCGCCATATGTGTGCCAGTCGCACACTCCTCGCACTGTCTCCACCTCCCCACAGCCTCTCTCCTTCTGCCTCGTTGCCATCTGTTGACAGTCTAGTGCAAAAACAGCTTTGGTTAAGTGCTCGGGTGTGTTTATGTGTGGTGAATGAAATTAAGAGAAATCTAAACACATTTGCTAGTCATTTATCCTAATGCCAGGCTACTTTGGTTCTGCGTGGTTCCCTTAGCAGTGCCACTTTTTGTCTCTTTTTTCAGTTTTTCCTGTTTTCCAGCAGGTTCTCAGGACTTGCAGTAATTTATTGCCCTAATTGACAAGTTCTCATATTCTTCCTCATATAATATAATTAATAATAATGCATCTTACGAAAGTTTGGTCTACAAACAGTAGCAATATTGCTGGATTATTGATTTCTCGATGCACAAGGACTGTTCCTTGTATTGATCCGTTCGTGTGATTCTGCCCTGAAGTGTACTGATGTTATGATCATGATGAACCGTGGCATCGTAATGACCTCCTCCTGGTTCGGTCACCAGCCTTACTGTGACAGTCTGCTTGGGGTCCCGCTTGTAGGCATCCTCAACATGGCTCAGTTGCAATCGCTGGCACTTGGGATAGGCAACCAGCAGCTCGTTGATGCTGTCCACGACAAATCTTGCAGCACGCTGAACAATATCCAAATTGAATGGAATCTTCACGTAGTTATAGCACTGACAGTAGTGCTCCGGAATTTCGGCAGAGCTGCAGCTACGCTCTTCTGGAATTGGTAGAAATAGGGAAACATTACGATCATTTCTTAGTTGCCAAGTCCGGCTGCGAATGTGCTCGTCATTTAGGTTCTCCAAATTTGCCAAGTCCTTCAGTGTCTCGTGCAAGTCGTGCGTGGTCATCAGTCGGTGGGCGTTGGTCTTTAGATTTTTAATCGCCAGTGGAAATCGCCTGACCATCCACCTCGGATAAATGGCGATCACCGTCGGCAGCGATATTTCCCTCATGCCCTGAAACGTATCAGTGAACGGACCAAATCGCAGCCCATGATCGGACATGAGCAGTACAAAAGTGTTCCTAAAAAGTTGGTGTCTTTGCAGTTCTTTTAGGTAGGCTTCGTAAGCCACATCTGCGACTTGGGCATACCAAAAATAGTCGTGGACGCCGTGCGATTGCCAGAAGAAGCCAAAGAATCCAGTGTCTTGACTCCGTGCCTCCATATGCGGCAGAAGGCGGTGCTTGAAGTCGTCCAGAACTTGGGAATATGATCGACCAGCCGTGCACGAAATGTAGCTGGCACCCTGAGCAGGGTAGTTAGTTTCTTGGTCGATCTCGTACATGGCGGGGCGCAGGTAAAAGTCAGTTGGCTGGCGTTGAAAGCCACTTAGGTTATATACAAAGGTGCCAGCTAAGGCTGAGTCCTCGCCGAACATAGTGACATATCCGGCTGCCTTAAAGAAGTCAAAAAGAAGGTAACACCGGTCGAAGCATTTAGGGTTGCTTGCACCATAGCATCCGGTAGGACCATTCAGTATAGTATCATTTTGACCGCTAAGCAGTGGCAGAACATTCGGGTAAGAATTTTCACCAACACGGTTATAGCCCCACATCTCCGTGTGTGGAAACTTGTCCACAAAGTTCATTGTTTTACTGTAAATTAATGAAGAAAATATATGTTTTTTTAAATTAAATTGTAAAGTTTGCTTACCTAAAATATCTTCGGTAGTGCATGTGGGAAATGGAATCGATGCCCAGAATCAAGACAGAGAGACGCTTCAAGTGTTCCAGTCTCACCTTTTCTCCTTTCCTTGGAGGTATTGGTTCTGGCAGGAATATAAATACATCAAGGAAGAGTAGACGACCACGGTCTCGCCAGCACCAGACCCGCAGTGTTGCATTACTTGGCTCGATCTCCTGATATTTGCGCAACCTGGTAAAACCAAAAACGGTTTGTGCCACGTATCGATTATTAAAGTCATCGATCCTCTCCAAGACGGTGTAAACGCAAAAGATTTCGCTTACTCTTCGAATTCCGTAATACTTCCAAAGCTTATTTTTGCTAAGGGCCAGGTACAGGAAGTTTCTACCTCTGATTGTTCTGGGCTTTAATAGTTGGGTCAAGTAGCACGAATAAGACGGCAAGGCCTTCATAAAGTACTGTGCGGTGGGCGACAGGGGATCCATGGCAGGCATTTTACATTGGGAGGTGTTTACCAGAAGACCCTTACTATTTATATTCGACATGATCTCCGGTGGTTTCCGTGGTCTGATTTCAACGGGGGTTGGTTCAGGTGGTTCAACATACAGGACAAGCAAAATACAGCTCAGTAGAAGGATGTTGAGACACATTGAAGCATATTTTACCCAAGACTTCTTCATTCTTATTTAAGAGGTTCTTGTGATATTGAGATTTTATAAGAGAAATCTGTATTCTCTTTTAATTTCTAAGACAAGTGAAACAAGTTAGTCCAGCTTACTTTGATAAAAAAGTCTGACAATCTTAATTGTATTGCAATTAACGTATATTATATTTCAATGAAAATGAAGTGGAACTCACACATAATATAAACCGCCGCAATCTGACCAATTGTTAACTACATCCTTCCTGTTTAAACCAACTTTGTTTTGGTTCTTTCTGTTTTCACAATTGGTTATTTGCCTATTAGCATAGTTTACAGTTTCCCTTTCCTTGGCCACTTTTAGCCCTTTTCCCAACAGTCGGCTTTGTTTGCGTTTGCCAAAAAAAAAAAAAAAAAAAAAAAAAAGGAAAAGCAAATATGTACAATAAAAAGGAAAAACAAAAATGCCCAAACAACGTCTAAATAATGAGGCCCTCGAGAAGCGTTCAGTGATTGAGTTTGTTTTCAGGCGTTTTAATTAGACTAACTTGATTAGATTTTGAAGTTCTCCTCTCTCTCTTATTTACTCTCGCCATCTTTGCCATTCTACACCAATTTGTATGATAAGGCTAACGAATAGCTCTCCACCTGGGGATAAAAATCTGTTTGGTAGTAATTAGCCAGGTTAAGTTTACCAAAGGACATTACATTGTTGCATTTATTTAGTGAGGATTGCTTGATTATTTTATTCCAAAGACCACTTGTTTTAGCTCATTTAATCCTATATTAATGGGATATATATAATAGATAAAACATAAAAAATAAAAATATTATTTATTTCTTATTATTTTGCTTATGAGGATAATAATAATCATACACAAATTAAAAAAGCAACTAGGTAGTGTCATATCCCCATAATATTGGTTTGGCTTGTTTTCTTGTTAGCATTTATCCTCCTGTAATCCCGTATTTCCAAGGCCTGAAGTCTATTATGTATCTTTAACAAGGTATCCTGGAGTGCCTTGCGACTTTTAGCGAAAGGAGAGATAGCGATAGGAGTATCCTTCATTCCTGAGGAATCAGAGACCCAGCACAAGTAACCGGATCTATTTCGCAGCCAGAGACAAAATGGGAATTCTGTTTCTCATTCAATTTTTATTCCCGTTTTTTTCCACCCATTCGCTTTGTTCTCTTTTTGCCGGAATGTTTACCGCCTGCGATTTTCGGGCTGTTGTTTTCTTTAATTTTCCGCATACAGATGCAGCAAAGCAACGACTTCCTGCCTTCCTCTGATCTCCTTACTTCCGGTTGCCCCCTCCGCCGGTCATGTCTCGTTTGCAGCATCCTGTAGCCTGTGTAAAACATATGCATACATTTTATACCATTACAGCATAACAATATTGCATTTGCAAGAACATTTCTCTCTGCCGCCCACAATCGCCTCCACTCCCGCAGGAGGTCTTCCTCTGTACCGCCAACTGTCTTGCGTTATGTGAATCCCGCGCGAATCCTGTGAATCCTAGCGACCTTCTACCGCCATCCCAGGCGCCCACCTTCGTTAGCGTTGAATTACGGTAGCTCTATGCATACCCTGTAAAGGTTAAAAGCTGGGGTGAAATGCTATTATTCATATTTTATATTTTGCCTAAATAAATGTAGTTTCTAAAAAATATATGTATTTCTTTTAATTTTTTAAGTAACCAAAGTATATGTTTTTTTTTTTTACTTTTTCACTTTGTTTATTATAGATATCATAGCAATTTACAGGATATTGCACGTTTGCCACGACCCTTAAATGATATGCTTCCTGCTTGTCTCCATTGCTGTTGTTTTATTTCGTTGAATTTCAGTTTCAGTTTTTGGTTTTGGCTACAGGTTTTACCTGAGCGCCAGCCAGCATCTGAAACTCTTCGAGTTGAACCGCCTCCCGCCCGCTGCCTGCTCCAATTACTGTTTGCATAGTTGAGTGTCGTCTGCGGAAATTTGTTTATTTTACGCGCATTGCGTTTTGCTTCGCTTCAGTTTTGGTTCGCCCCGGTTTGGTTGGATAACCATCCGCATCCGTCCTCTCCTGCCGTTGCCGTCACGAGGATCCTTGGCTACTCCTTTTCACCGAAATCGGAATTGGAGGAGCACAATGAGACATGACGACGGCATATCCCACGACCAAGTCGCTAAGACAAACTGACAGCTAAATGCGTCAGACTCGTTGCAGATTTCATTTGGCGTGAATTCTTCTCTACATTTCCCCCCGCTTGACATTTTTTGTGCTCGTTTTTACATCTCTTTTTCTGTTTGGTTTTTTTTTGCCAATGTATTTTGCATTTTTGTAGCTTTCGTTGACATTTTCCTCGCTGCGAAGCCTTGTGCATTGAGCAGGTTTATAGCTTCCTCTTCTGCCACTGCTGGCAAACGGTGCAGGTTACAGTCGCAGTCAGAGTTGAATTCCCCCTTTGCTACAACAAATAGAAAAAAACAGAGGCGGTAGCAAGAAATGTCAGACACAACCGTGACTACCGAAAAAGGGCAGCAGAAAAAAAGCGGAAAAACGAATCGTGGGAATGCCCAGGATGGGTCCACCACGGCGTATGTGCAATAAGTTGCTCATCTAACTGCGTTACATATACGCACACAGAGGCCATAACAAGGAAAGCCTAATGAAAATGTCATCGGAAATGTTGACAAATAAAAGAAGAAGCAATGCGATATTTTTTGTTTCCCTAAATCCAGTTAAGCTGTTGCCTTTCAACTTAATTGGAAAACAATTGGTTGCCTGAAAATGTAGCAACTTTTTGTATGATGTATTCGATTTATTCTTCAATTAAAAAATAAAATATTACAGTCACTACACTTGTAAAAAAAATAAGAAATATATATATATATATATAATCAGCTTTAAAAAGATTTAATATTAATGTAATTTGAATATAGGATAAAGAGAATCTAATTCCTTGTATCTGGGAACTTAATCAAAAAGGCATACATAAAACGGAAATCCGATTTCAGGCAATCCAAATCGTATGAGCTGGCTTATTGGTACCACTTATTCAATTGGCCTTCTCATCCTGCTGTGGACGAAACATGGTCGAGAAGAGAACGAGGAAGGCTTCAATCACTTGACATGTTCAGCAGTCAATTTGTGGATTGCTGGGATTGCAACTCCTCCGCCCCCGCCTCGATTTTGCCCGTAATACTGCTACTTTTGCTTAGTGCTCATCTTCTGTCTGTGATGCTACTGTTCCTGGTCCAACAACTCCCCCTCCTCCTTCTGCAACTATGACATGCTACTGGCCCTTGTGCCAGCTGACTGACCGACCAGAAGAGTCGAGTCCACTATGCAGTTGGCCTGCGGCCAGGTATGCCGACCTGCCAGAGGAACTGGTAGCATATGAGCATCCGTCCGTAGGTGGATGTGGTTGCTGGCTGAAATCTCCTGCTCCTGTTTCTGCACCTGCTGCCATTGTCCTGGCCTTCAACTATGCGTTGACAGGAGCCGCCTTGAATCCTTTGGCCCAACTATGTCCGGAGATAGAAGTGGGTAGGGTTTTGCCTGAAGAGCAGTACGCCATGAACAGCTAACAAGCCGATCAACATCCCACATGTGGGTGGTAGGACATAGTCCAGTCCAGTATACACCCACGCTAAATAGTTGATATATACTTTCGAGAGATTTTTATTTGTTAAAATTATGTTTACTATTTTAAGTGATATTTTTAAATACGAATTACACTCTAAAGTATTGTCCTGAAATATTGATGTTGAACTACTCTGAACAGAATCAACTAAAATTAAGTTAGTATTAAAAAAAAATTAACTATGCCTCTTAGAATAAATCTAATGTTAACCGAATATCTTTTAAAAGTCATGTAAAAACCATATTTTACCTTTAAGTTAGCCAATTTTCTCTCTGGGTGTTGCTCCTGTGATTGCTGTTTGCCAGGTAACAAAATTACTCGGTCTGGGCCAAAGTTTTCTGGTGGGTGGGAATAACACTGGACCAACTTGCTGCCAATAACTCAACTAATTGTCGCTGCAAGAGGTCCATCCCTTCCTGCGTTCTTTGCGGCCATCCTGCTGGCAGAAAAATGAGCTACGAATTGTTAATTTCGAGCTGCAGCTGAGCAAAGAAATCGTTTTGGCCAAGCCAAGCGAACGCAGCCGAGTGGCAGCATTATTAAAGCCTTGTCAGCAGCAGCAGTAGCTGCCGCACGTGGCGCAAATTGTGGCATAAAACGGTAGCAAAGACACCTGCTGGCTGCTCTGCATATTAATAAGTTGCTCTGGCCACGCTTTCCCAGCCACCATAATGTATATTTTCTCCTGCTTCGGTTGGGGCCAGGTTAGTTGGTTGGCTGTGCTGGCCCAGCTGGCCATAGTTGGGCATTCATTAGACTCGTTGGGCGATTGTTGCCTTCGTCGTTGTTGGCCAACGTTGCGTATGCGCCGCGTTGTCGCTGCTGCCAGTCTGGCTGGCTTTAAGCCTTAAATCATTGGGCCATCAGTTGTGGGAACTTTTAAAATATATAGCAAATAAGTGCACGGAAATAGTATTGTGTATTATTTATTTAAATATTGTACAACTAAAACTATTAATAATTTAAACCCTAGTAGAGCTGACCTTTAAAAATCCCGTCTTAATGAAAATTGAGCTCTACATTGCGCTTAATTTTTCTGTCCCTGAGATCCGTGCCTCGAATTGGATTTTTAAAATAGTCGCATGTCCGTTTGGAGTTGACCAAGCCCTTGGATATGCACCGCAATCCCAATTGCTTTCTTGTGTTCTCGCAATCGAAGAACACGAGCGCTAATGGCCTAAACTGCATCTGAATGAATATACAGAAGAAGAAAAAAACGGCGAAAGTCTGGCGACAGGATGTCTGCAGGACTCGTTGTCAGCCTGTCTGTCCTTTTAGCTGCATTGCCGCACTGCTGAACTTGAGTTTGGGGCGGCTTTGGTTTGAGCGGCTTCATTGTGTATCGAAGGGCTGGTTGGGTTGGTAGAAGGGCGCTGACGCCGGGGATTCCCCTCATTCCGGCACCTCTGCCTAACGACTCTCCTCTTGCCAGTTGCCAAATTTACTTCAATTTTTTATTTGTCGCCATGGCACGTAGAGCGTGCTAAATTTTCCGCACGCATTCTTCGCTTTATCTCTGTTTTTACCTATATCCCAGTCCCTGTCCACTCTCACTATCCATTGGATCCTTTAGTATTCTCTTTTGTTCTATCCTGTAAATATTGTATGACATTGTTTTATTTAATTCGTAAATTTAATTGAGAGTGGTAAAAAGTGGAAAAATATTATATTTTCATGGCAAAACAAAAGAGGCTTACCAGAGCATATAATTTTCATAATTGACA